TGTATTTTATATAAATAGACAGCTTTTTAGACCATGTAAAAAGTAGGATTTGACAAGTCAGTTTTTAGTAGTTTTAAAAGGCAAACAGGCCTATCATGTTACACTTTTAGTTTTATACTTCGTTTCTTTATTTCTTTTCTTTTCTTTTCTCTTGTCATATCTTTTATTTTCTTTATTTCTATTTTTATCAATAAACATCTTACTTGGAAACATAATTACTCAATACCTCGTGAATTATTGATCGTGAAGTACTCATATAAACTTTGACTTAAAACTTTTGTTTGATTAGCCATAATAATAAACTTGTAAAAGCCTTAAGATTACTACATACATTAAAAAGAAATAATACTTTGACACCCTGTCTAACAGATATAGTTCACAAGAATTACATGTTAATATTTGGCAATGACGACAGGACTCTCTTTTCCTAATTGTGTAGTAATACCCTATGAGAATACTACATGAATACCTTTGAGAACTTATTTGAAACTCAGCAAACACATTACGCATAACATTTATCAAAAGAACGAAACAACCAACTAAAGATCACCTTTGTGAACAACACATCATGTATTATTTGCTATCCTTCATCCATTCTATCAGAGTAAACTCTTGCCTTTCGTGTCTTTCTTAAGTGGACTCGTTTCATATTTGGAACTGAGTTTGATTCAGCTAATAACTCATCAACTCTAGAATTACAAATACTCTATTATCGATGCGTATTCTAATCCTTTGTGTATAATAAACTACCCTCTTACACCTTTGACCAAGCTATCGACTTAATAATACAAACACATCATCAGACAAATGTATTTAACAAGAATCCTTGAAGCACTATTTCTGAATACTTTGAAACTCCTATATCAAGCACACCTCCCTCACCTTCACCAGTTATTTTGAGAACAACTGCAATGACTAGGCCAAAAGGATCAACTACTGAAACTGTTAAGCTACAAGCCCCTCCAGAACCATTGGATACAAATAACAATAACTATTCTCTTTCTGGAGATGAAGATGAAAGCCATCCACCAGGTAACGTTCTTATAGCACAAGTTACTCTAAGTGGGAATAAACATGTGGACTTCTATGACTCTACTTTTAATTTTGGAAACTTTGGAAACTACGAAGGTCAAACTACTTCACCTCTTTCTGGGGCTGAACAAAATAACCTACTCCCATTGGGAACTGAACAAACTAATCTACCTCCCTCTAGAACTGGGAAAACTAAGCAATCTTCCTCCAGAATAGGACAAACCAACCAACCGCCTTCAGGTACAAGATAATCTAGCAAATCTTCATCGGAAACTGGACAATCTGGGCCGACTCCATCTGGATCGAAAAATAAAGGATCAACTTCTGGTCAAAAAATTCCAATAAGTCTAGTTCATCTAAAGCAAGAACACCTTCACCTCAAGGCTAGCCTAAAAAGAAAAAGTTAGACAAAAAGAGGAAAAGCCGTCGTTCTCCTTCTTATTACGATAGCTCGTCTTCATCATCTAGTTATGAATCAGAACCTAATAGTTCGCACAATAATGAGTCTTAGAACGATCCTTTCGATGAAAATAATGCGACCAGTCAAAGTCAACTCGATTTCTTCTGAATGATGAAAGGACTGACCACTGTTTTCAAAAATGTTGTATTTGGTGGATAATGTGAAGGTAAATTTGTGGATTTTCCTTTCTTTAAAGATGGAAACCAGGATCCTCATGATTGGTTGGAAAGGTATAATAATGCAGGCGACGCAAATGGCATGTCAGATAGAAGACGTCTTACTCTAGTACCATCATTTTTAAGTCCTCAACTCTCACCTAGTACAATAAAACCAGAAATGAAAAAGACTTACGATACTGGAATAATCAAACTGATCGATAACATAAGCATTGATCCTTATCTATCACTTCTTGAAACATTATTGCATCACTCATCGACAAACGCAATGGCGTTCTCCACTTAGACGATATAAACAACGTTCTGGACAATTAGTTGAAGATTATGCTGCTGATATCGAGTCATTATACCTTAAATTGGATCCAAAATATAATATGCCTGAAGATGAAAAATTAAACAATTTCTACAAGGATTTCGACCTGAATTTCATACTGCAATCGCTACCGCCACACCACGTGACTTAGAGGAAGCCATTGATCGAGCACAGGCTGTTGAAGCAGTATAATCTAAAGATAATACACTTTCAGGTTACTCCTTAAGCAAAGCATATCTAACACAGAATAACGATGATACTTCTGAACCCTTTAATACTACTCCAAACATGCAACAACTAATCAATAAAAACAATGAAAAGTTACTAAAAGAGTTTAAGCAACTTTTGATCACCTCCAACACTACTCTATGACCTCAAACTACACCTTCCCATCCCGCGAATACTAATAATAACTGGAGAAATAATAATAATACCAATAGTTATAATAGTGGTAATAATAATAATCGTAACAACAATAATCAGACTACCTCAAGTTGTTATAGTTGTAAACAAACTGGGCATTTTGCTCAGAACTGTACGCAACAGAGAAATTTCCAAAACAACTAAATTAATAGAGGAACCAACCGATATTCTCCAAATAATACCTCAAACGTAGGAATTAGTGTCCATAATTGCCAACAGCCAGGACATATAGCTAGAAACTGCAACAATTTACCTAGGGTACCATGTCCTTTCTGCAGTCAGTTTGAATATTGGGAAAGGGTATGCCCAAATAGAAATAATAATACTAATAATACCAATCGGAATACATCGAATGGGTATAATAATATTAATAATGGGCAATGTGCTGCACTCTCTCAAATCATGCCAATGTATAGTTCGACATTTACGCCTCCCCTTCAAACGTCAATGACCTTTCCAGTACCAAATCCGTCACCAGTAACTAATAGTAATACCTTCTCTTCTTCATCACAGTCTTTAAACTATTAATGGTACCTTTAAAGGGTGAGCGTACTAATGAATATATAAACCCCTTAGAACCACCAAAAGCAGTTGAAGCAGTTTATTGTAGTACCACTGTAGATAATAAACCAATTTATTTAATATAGATTCTAGATCAGCAGGAAGTGTAATGTCTAAAGCATTTTTACAACAATTAGGATGAAAAATTGAATTCGTATCTACAATAACAATAATTAATATACAATGCAGAATATCTTGACCTTTAAGACGGGTTACAAATATTCCTTTACAATTAAATAGAGTAGAAATTCCTATCAATGTAGATATCACTGAATCAACTGATTATTACATTGTAGCCAGAAATGACTGGCTTTCAAACCGCCGAGGATGACTTTATTGGGACTGTCAAAAATTTACATTCTATTGGAACAATAAAGAACATCAAGTATTAATGACTTGTTGGGAAAGACCACAATTTGATCATTTCCAACAACCAGTAGTTATTACTAATAAATCAGCTGACAATAATGAAGAATATGAGGATGAAGGGTTAATAGCCCAACAATATTATGTGGTATTTGGAGACAAAGATGACTTAACTCCTTTACCTGAAAGTAATCCCAAAGAAATTTTATAGAAGAACAAAAGTATTAACCCCAATACTTTGAAAGTCTAAGGCAAAAATTTGGAGTTCAACCACCTGAAAATGCTAAGTGGAAATTCAATTGGCAAGGACCAGGAAACTGATGTTGGTGTCGTAATTAACTAGATAAAAGTAATGATATTTGCCAACTTTGTAAGAAGAAATGGGATTACTAGCAATTATTGCAAAACATTCCTGATGAACCACCAATTCAAGTAAATACATACTCCTACCTGAATGAGCACTAACAACTACAAATCACTAGATTCCTCAATAAGAATGAAGATGCTTTTGCTAATCACCTATCTCAACTGGGACATATCACAATAGAAAATCATCATATTCCAGTAGAAAATCCAATGCCGATACGACAGCGTGCATATCGAGTAGCTCCCTTGGAATAAGAGGTTATTAAAGAAGAAGTTAATAGAATATTGGAACATAATTTGATTTAACGTTCTGAAAGCCCTTGGGTCTCACCTGTCGTTCTAGTAAGGAAAAAGAATGGGAATCTTCGATTTTGTATTGATTATAGAAAATTGAACAGTGTCACTCAACAGGATGGACATCCTTTACCTCGCATTGATGAATTGCTTGATATATTTGGAAAAGCAAAGTATTTCTCAACATTAGATCTAGTAAGCGGATATTGGCAGGTTGCGATGGATCCAAATGATCAGGCTAAAACAGCATTTATCACTAGCTAAGAACTTTATGAATTTAAAGTTATGCCGTTCGGATTGACAAATGCCCCTGTGACCTTTCAATGTCTGATGAATAAATCTTTAGGGAAGAAATTGAACGATTTGTAGCTGTATACCTTGATGATATTATTATTTTCTCAACCACCTTCGATGAACACATACAGCATTTGCAATTAATCTTTAAAAAATTAAAAGACGCTGGATTAAAACTTGGAAAAGATAAATGCGATTTTGCTAAGTTAGAATTAGCATTCTTAGAACATATTGTTAGTGGACAAGGAATTTTCCCTGACCCCTCCAAAATTGACAAAATCAAGGATTTTCTTATCCCAAAGAATATAACTGAACTCCGAGGATTTTTAGGCCTCGCATCCTATTACAGGAGATTTATTCAGGACTTTTCTACATCTGCAGCACCTTTACATTTATTATTGCGAAAAGATGTACCTTATATCTGGACAGAACCACAACAAAACACATTTGAATACTTGAAAGTTTGTTTAACTACTGCACCAGTCTTAATATACCCTGACTTCAAACGCAAGTTTTTGTTATTTACTGACAGATCGTATATTAGACTTAGAGCAGTACTAGCATAATTGGATGATGATAATAAGGAATGTGTTATTGCTTATGCCAGCCAAAGTATAAGTGGTACTGAATAGAACTATGCTCCAACTGAATTAGAATGTTTTGCTGCTGTATGGAGAATAGAACATTTTCGATCTTATCTATTATATCAGCAATTTGAATTGATTACTGATCACACAGCTTTACAATAGCTTTTTAATAAACCAGATCAACCTCGCAAATTTATGAGATGGATTATCCGTATAATAGAATTCCCTTATCAGATTCGATATAAAAAAGGAAAATTACACTCAAATGCAGACGCATTGTCTCGACTTCCTTTACAGTAAACTAATTAATTATTAAAATTTAGAGTAAAAGTGAAAGTGCTAGCAGTGTAACTAGCAGCTCAATAACATGGAATTCGAAACTTATCACCAATTATTTCAATATCTTACCCAAATTACATACCCTCCAAACCTTACCCCTTCACAACAACTCGCAATTCAAAAACAAGCATAACATTATTTCGTACAAAACCAACAACTTTATAGACTTAATCGTAAACAATCCGCTCAACCATTACTTGTAGTAAAATCAAATGAAATCGAACGTATTCTACATAATATCCATAATGAACCTTTAGGAAGACATTTAGCAAGGGATATTACGTATAACAAGATTGCCTCTCAATATTATTGACCAAGTATGTACAAAACCATTGAAAATTGGATACAAACATGTGATGTCTGTTAACGACAAGGAAGGACAAAACTTAAGGAACCCCTGCATCCTATACCTGTTGGACAACCCTTTGACCATGTAAGAATAGATTATGTAGGACCACTTTCACGTACTACTAAAGGAAATCGGTATATCATTGTAGCAACTGAGTATTTGACTAAATGGGTTGAAGCTAGCACCACACCAGATTGTACTGCCCAAATAACTACGCAATTTATGTATAATGAAATCATCTGTCGACACATGATGCTAAAGGAGATATTAACCGATAGAGCAACGTCATTCAAAATGAATTAATTGCTGCGCTATTGCATATAGTTGGAAATAAGCATAGATTATCTTCGTCATATCACCCCCAAACTAATAGCTTGACAGAGCGTTTTAATAGAACATTATGTACAATTTTAGCAAAGTATGCTAAACAACACCATGGAAAATGGGATACGTATTTAACTTCAGCACTTTTTGCATATTGTATAGCACAGCAAGAAACAACGAAGTTTGAGCCATTTGAATTATTATATGGTCAAAAAGCAGTTCTACCAATAAATTTACAATTGCGATGACCTTCTCCTATCAGTAACCTATCAAATGCTATGGAAAAGTATCAACAGATAATCACATCGCAATTACAACAATGACGCTTACTTGCATAACAGAATATAATGCAACGACAACAACAGCTACAGGAACATTACAATAAGGATCGACCTGGAATTTCTTATCAAATTAGGAATAAAGTTTTATTATTTAATGTAATACAATCACATATTCATGAAGACAAATTTAAAGATAAATTTGATGGACCTTTTTATATTCATGACATTGTGAGACCTGGTACTTATAAACTTCGTATCTTAAATGAACAAGTTAGAAAGAACCTTATACATGCAGATCTTTTGAAACCATATTTAGAACAGACCGAACGGAAACCTCAGATTATCATCGAATGATGATTGACATTAAAAATTATTATAAATAGTATATGTTATTTTTATAATACCTTTTGAACCGCTGTGGTAAGCATGGAAACAATTAATAGTGAAATTATCTTAAAAGAACTTCAAGATTCTATAACCCTCTCTAACGAAGAAATACAACCGATGACACCACCTTATCAAACTGATACAATGTTGACACAAAAAGTGCAATTGACATATCAAACTTTTCTTCGCTCTACACATATGAGGAATCATTCTTTATCTCTTGTAAATGCTTATTATTTAGGTCAACTTATTGATGCTGTGACTACTTCTCCTGCTCAACGGACGTTACAAATGGTAATGCTCACGAAACATTATTACTGAACTGCTATTCGAGTTTATCACCTCTTTGAAAACTTAGGAGTCCAACGAATCTTTACTACTCAACGCTTAACCTTAACCATGGTTCGCCAACTGAAGTCTAGCGAATATCAAGCTCTTCTATTAAAAACTCTTGACATTTCTGCAGAAGCAGAAATCTTAAGCGGGGAGTAATGTGAATGAATAAAATATGATAGGACCTACGTGATGCAGATTATTGACAAATCTGACAGATCTGACAAATCTAACATACACTCCCCTAAAGAAAGTATCCGGGCACGGCTTTTTGCAAATTGTAGCTTAATTATCTTATGTTTTTAAATAAATTTTTATATAATTATAAAGTGCATGTTCCTGTAAATCTATTG